CCGCTCCTGCCTGCAGAGCGCTGCTCCGGAAGGGGCGCCTTACAGAGGGGTACCCCGCAGCGGCTGTAGTGTGGAGATGCACGTTGCGAATGTGTACCCTGCAGCGGGTGCAGCGCAGACAGATGCATTACAAAGAGCTACCCGGCAGAGGGTATAGTGTAAAGGTTTATGTGTCAAACGCGAACCCTGCAGCGGCCAAAACAGAAAGGGACAGCTGACAGATGGGTGGGTACCCTGCGGTGGGTTGCTGTAGAAGATGAAGGGTGGAGCGGTTGGCACAAAGCAAGCAGCAGAGCCGCAAGCAGAACCCAGTGCCCTGAGCCCGTGCTGGGCCGCGCTGCGTGGACTCGCTCGGCAGGCTAGCTGCCTTTGTTCGGGGAGTATTTTTCATCAAGTAACTCACTGATGTCATTTCAGGTGCGCCTGGCGATTGCTGAAAAAGCCCTAAAATGTGAAGAACATGATGTAAATCTGCCACTGAGTGAACACAATGAACCTTGGTTTATGCGTTTAAATTCATCTGGAGAAGTACCTGTCCTTATCCATGGGGAAAATATTATTTGTGAGGCAACACAGATTATTGATTATCTTGAAGCAACATTTGTAGATGGTAATCCTATAGATATTTCAGTGTGCTATTTTTCCCCGTACAAGTAACATGCAACGGTTGTTGTATCACTATGTAGTATTTTGAGCAGAAAATGTTTATAATCCCACAAGTAAATACCTCAAATAATGGGTAGTAAGGGATAAAAACACGTTCCTTTCATGACCTTCCTGCACCTTTACTGATAGCTGTAAAAAACAAAACAGAACAAAACAAAAACAGTCTTTCTTACCCATTCTGCTAGCGTGAAAAAGTAAATAACGTGACAACATAGTTGTGTACTAGTTCCATAGTGAGACTGCCGCTGGTAAAGGTAATACAGTGAACAGGAAGTTGCACAGTTTTTGCTGTTCTGAGACAGCTCTGCCTTTTCATCCACAAAAAAGAATGATGCCTTTACTGGTTAATTCCAGGATAATCTTTAAAAAGTGGAAGATAGAAAGAAAATAAATTATTTTTAGTGCCAAAAAATGGAATAAGAAGGAGAAAAAAGTAGGGAGAATAAAATTAAAAGTGAACTTGTGCAAGCTTTTGACATTCTCCATGTCTGCATTGCTGGAAAATAGACATTTTTGAAGAAAAGAATTGAAGTACACAGGTGCATTTTTTTCAGGTGTGGAGGGGTAGCATGTTGTGGTTCAACAGTTTAGTGATTCAGCAGCGGCTTTAAATAATTTCCCCTGCATGAAGAAACTTTCAGTGCAAGGTGAAGATAATGTGAATTTAATGCTGACGTTTTAGTCAAATGAAGTGTCAGGGCCTGGGTAAATTGAGGGTGGGGTAAAACTCGGTGGTGTGCCGGAATACCTCTAATGGTGCTTTGAATAGGATTCCTTTACTGTAGTTCTAATAACATTACTGCTGCAGTGGTAAAGGCATAGTCATAACAGCTTATTTAAACCTCTGTTGTGCCCTATTCTGAAAGGGTTAGAGGGTTATGTGCCATGATCTCTCCCGTCCGTAGAAGTACAAAATATATGCTGAATACAGTTCCCTGATTCAAAGGCCTCTTAAATCCTTCTTTACATGGGTTGCTGCATAAGAATAGAATTATTCAGATGTTTTTGAATGTAGTATGAGTATATACGTTATCTGAGGAGTGATAACACTTGGGTTACAGTAGGGAACCCTGCTCAGTAGCGGAACCTTTCTTAGCATGGCTGTGTTATTTGTGCTAGTTGGGTATAACTGAAGTGACTTTAGGAATATTACTTTTGATTAATTACATGGTTCTTCTTTTTTAACTTTTTTTTTTAATTTTGTGATTGTATGGCAGAAGAAGTACCAAGATTAATGCCAGAAGAAGGGAGCATGTATTATCCCAGGGTGCAGCATTATAGAGAGCTTTTAGACTCCTTGCCTATGGATGCCTACACTCATGGCTGCATCCTACACCCTGAATTAACAGTGGATTCCATGATTCCAGCCTATGCTACAACCAGAATTCGTAGTATGTACTGGTACAGATCTGAACACGTGTCATTTAATGGAATGTTTGATTACATTAATCTGATATCTTATTTTTAATGGGCATGATGCAGAACCTGGAGGGCACATAGTTCTAATTTTAATTGTAATCCTTCATGATTTGTGAATATACTTTCTATTTGCTTTTGTACCTTGTTATGATTTGACAGTGTCGAAGAGCAAGGGCTATTTTCCAGGCATCTATGGAATTAATTTTGCTAGCAATTGGAAATGTGCTTTCTGTGCATAAAAGAAAATGGCAGCTTGAATATTTTAATTTCTGATTTTGCTGTTTATGCTCATGAAATTGTTTCCAAGGAACTGCAGTATTGTAGCTCAAACTACACCACCGCACTGAAGAAAACCCATTTTTGTAGATGTAAACTTGAAATAACAGAAGTTTACCTATTTAGTTAATAACAGTTGCTTTCCTCTCAGCTAAAGTCATACAAATGTAGATTAGCCTCAGTGAAACAGAGTATTTTTATATAACATGTTGTAAGTGAATCATCAGGCCCTGTTTTTCAGGAGAATGTAATAGTATAAGCTTTAGTGCCAGGGGCAGGGGAAAAAAAAAGGTCTAAAGAAATAAGTAGCCTGTTGTCAGTTTATGCCTACATATGCACTCTGCTTAGACGGGTAAAGATAAAACTAGGACTTGTCTAAATCAGGATGTTTTCTTATCTTTTGTTTTCATATCCTAAACACAGCCCGCTTTCCTGATTTGGGGCCTTTTTTTGATAGATTACGAGTATTCCTAAATAATTCCTTTGCTTGTTCAGACTTTTCCTGAATGGTTTAATTTTCAGCTTTGAATAACTGATCTTTTTCAAAGCACTAGATAATAAAAACCCCTCAGCAAATTATGTATTTGTATTTACACATACCAAATGCAATTAAATAATGAATTGCATATATAAGGTTTTAGGTATGGGATTACATCCTTCAGTTTCTTCATATACTGTGTTGAAGGATGGCTTTCGCAGCCACATCAGGTTGAAACAAGGAATATATAAAACAATGAGTTCATTATTCTCTAGCAAGAATTTTTTATCGGTTTAATTTAAAAGACTTAATTGGAACTAATCTTAATTACCATGTACAAGTAGGAGGTGATTCATGCCATTCTCAAGTTTATTACTAGAAATATTTTTTTTAGAAGATACCTTCTTACTTACTGGGTCTGTAAATAAGGCATTTCAAACAAAGTTTCATTTTAAAGAGAAAAAAAGACTATACACATGTAAAAGAAATCTTCACGTCATTCCTTCTTTAAATCATATACTGAATTTTTTTCTAGAACACCAGTATACTCTGTAATGAACATCTGTGAAGGGGTTTACAGACTTTGGTGGCACGTTTTAGCTAACTCAAAGCACCTTAGTTCTATTGTCAGTGGTATATAGGCTTTTACTATCCAACTTACTGTGACAGTACTGAGAATCTCAGTATGGGCCTTTCTGCAGATTTACAGCACTGAAGTGTGTTAGGAACCCAGGAATTGAGGCACAAAGCAATGAGAGTTCTACCGTATTTGTAGTTGAATTTCAGAGATTGAAGATAGTTAAAATATCCTCATTCTTTCTGGGCAAATTAACCACTTCACAGAGCTCACTGCAAACTGATAAGTACAAGGTGTGGTGGGATCAATTTGTGCAGTCGTTAACTTTTCCAAGCATGATATTTTTGAAGCCCCACTTCGTGGGAATACTTTATTCAAGTACCACTTCTTATGTCTTTGGTGTGATGTTTTTGCATGATTTGCTGATCAGTCCCTGTCGTTCCTTATCTTTTGTATCAGGCCAAATAAGTAATACGGAATCAGAATTGAAGAAACTTGCGGAAGAAAATCCAGACCTTCAAGATGCCTACATAGCAAAACAGAAGCGCCTTAAAGTAAGAAAACTCTTTCTGTTCCACCCTACATTACCTGCTTCTTGGTGTCAGATTTTTTCTGTCACAATGTAAACGTTCTGTTTCACCTGGCTTTACCGGTACACTTATGCAGTGGTTTAACCCTACTAGGCATGAAGCAGTCTATCCCTCAAATCAGCTACACACTTCAGGTGTGTGCTAAAGTATTGGACTGGTCCTACTGACTTCAAAGGTAAGCATATATCTGCATTGGTATTGGGATATTGAGCACCCTGCAGGATCAGGCAAACCTAGATATCTACCATCTCTATAAAATGTTTTTCTACCGTTATCTGAATTAACAGTATCCAAATGGTAGCCAGCTAGCTGTGTAGAAAAAATAATCACGTTATGAATAAGCACTGTAGTATCTAAGCAAAAGTTTGTCTATTAGAAGTGTCAACTCTGTACAATAATTAAAACACTAACTTGTATATATATATTTAGTCTAAACTGCTGGATCATGATAATATAAAGTACCTAAAGAAAATACTGGATGAACTGGAAAAAGTTTTGGATCAGGTTGAAACTGAGTTGCAGAGGCGAAATGAGGAAACACCAGGTAAGGGATTATTCTTGCTAAATTGGCTTGATGTTTGTATTGTGAAGACTGAGTAAACCAGTTAACAGCACCATTACAGGACTGTTTTTAACGTATCTGATTTGATACTTTTTGCGTATACTGATATAACTTCACAGAACAGATAAATACTGTTTGAAACACTAGTTTAGTTTACTGCTGTTGTCAGTGAGTAGAAGTCTTATATAAGTAAATTTAGGTTTTATAGTGATTCATCACATTTTCAGCATAATATGAGCATAATTAGCTCTACATTTTTAGAGTATTTTGTAAACAAAACACACAAGAAAAACCTAAACTACAAAATGTTCTTCCTCATGCTGTAGTCCTGGGTTCACTATAATGAGCATGACCTTAATGTTAAACATAAGTTATTTAAAATTAAAATCTCATTTAAATATTGTGCTGATTTAGGGTGTTACTGTGTGTGGTAGTTGCAGAATTAGCAATCTAAAGTGCTCTGATCATAGGGCAACTACCTCACCCCCATACCAAAAGCAGTAGTGTTGACCTGAAATCCACCTAATGAGAAGTGAGTTTTGTTTAAATGTGATTAGTGTTTCTGATCATCCAGAGTCTGGGCCAACTCCCAATGGTGCTAATAGGAATCTTTCCTGTGACTTCACTGGGAGCGGCATGAACCATCAGTCAATATCAACTGCATCTGTTCAGATCAATAACTCTTTGCATGTGGCTCTATAAATAGCTGTGGTAATAATGATCAGTTACCACCAAGACAGAGTAGGTTTGAACTAGTGTTTGAAAATGTAGGTTAAATTCTCTACTAACTCAACAGTGAAAGTCACATTAGTTAATGTGACTAATGAGTTATGTAACTGATAATAATACTCATGCGTAATGTAGCTCATAATGTGACTTTATGAGTTAAAACACTCATAAAGGATGGTAGAATTTTGTTCAGCAAATTAATTCTGTCACCATTTCCAGCAGCCTCTTTTCTTTCTCTGCTAAATAGCTTTTCCAAGCCGTCGTTTGGTATAACACTGCTTAACTTATGAAACCTGACAGTGTCATAGGATTTAGTAAAATATACGATGGTTAAACGCTTCTTTAAATTTTGTCTGAGTTGTTCATGTTCCCTGGGTTTGTGAATAGTGCTTCTGTCAGGTCTTGGTCAATGTCCGAGTTTCTGCTTTTCTTACTACTGCTCACATCCCTCATTCAGCCATAGCTGCTGCTACCTCAGTCATCTTTCTTTCACACAGATTAACTTCTTTGGTCTTCCTTTCTGTCATTTTGCAGCACAGGATTAATCCCTATGTGTCCTTTCAGCTGGAGAGGATAGACTCAGTTGCTGCATAGGCCTTTCTTCCTGACTTGCATAACCAGTTGAAATGGACTAGTATCAATGGTGTGCCACTTTCCTTAGCTGGGAAATGGGTTGAAAAGGATATTCCAGGGTCTGTGTGTTTCCACAGATGCGCTACTAAAAATTCATGCCAGTGGTTTCGTGTGCCTGTCATGTGGGAACAACTCCATAAGGTTGCAAATAGGAGGGCACAGTGTAGTCCCATTTGAGATCTAAGTTAGAGCAGATTAGTTGCACTGGCACCTAGACTGGACACCTGGTTTCAGATCCTAGGTTTTACAAGCTCTCTAAATAGTCAGTACAGGTAAGCCCTTTGAGATGGTGGTGCAGAGCGCTGAAGTTAGAGGCATGATGCCGCCTAGCAATGCCTGCTCTGAGCCATCTCCGGAAACTCTGACCTCTTTCCTTTGACTAGAGAGGCGGTCTGGCATCTTCCTCAGTGTGCTCCTAACTAATGTTGGGCAGTGTGAATACCCATCACTTCTCAAACTTCTCCGTGTAAACGAAACGATTTTGGGTCTAGGAGGCACAAAGGAGGGGCAGGTGGCACATACTGTATCTTCTGCCTGAGCTGGCATGTTTGGGGCAGGTCAGACCTCAGGTTCATTTCTGTTTGACTAGAAAGTCTTCAGCAAAGAAGAATTCTTGAGTGAATGTCGCAGAGCTGAGTGACACAGACAAGATGACAGACTCCTCAGGCAAACCGTAATTTTTCAGCACAAGCTAAGCTGCCTTTCTCTCCTTTCCATTCCTGTTTAATTTAAACCAGATCTGAGACATGTAGTTGAGAAAAATAAATATTTGCTATGAATCTTAATTTATGAACCTGAAATATGGCTCCTCTTTCGTAGCAAATGTAGCCCAGACTGCTGAACATAAGACTTTGCGATAACGGGTGAGCAATGGATAGGAATTGGTAAAAAATTCAGTTATTGAAGTCATATTTTAGCAGATGTGTTGGTGTTGTTTATTAGCCAGCATCATGAAATAGCATTAAACTAAATATTAGCCCATGCAGACTTACACATGTGTTTGCACTCGATTAGCTCCTAATTCTTTATGTTTTATCTCTAATTAGAAGATGGGAATCAGCCTTGGCTCTGTGGTGAATTCTTCAGTTTGGCAGATGTATCACTTGCTGTCACATTACATCGCTTGAAGTTTCTGGGATTAGCAAGAAGAAACTGGGGAAACGGAAAACGACCCAACTTGGAAGCCTATTATGAGCGTGTCCTGAAGAGAAAAGCATTTTACAAAGTTTTAGGACATGTCAACAATATATTAATCTCAGCAGTTCTGCCAACTGCATTCCGTGTGGCGAAGAAAAGAGCGCCCAAAGTTCTTGGCACCACCCTGTTGGTTGGCATGCTAGCAGGAGTGGGTTATTTTGCTTTCATGTGTCTTCGAAAGAGGTTTGCCAACATGATGTTATCAATTAGAACCAGACAAAATTATTTTTAGACTTGTCCGTCCCTGATGGTAGGTGGAGGTCATCTCTAGCCCCCAGGAAGATATCAAAAATAAGCGTTTAAGAAAGGTTATGTCCGTGAATTAGAACACTGTCTCACAATGATCGTCTCCTGCTTTTGAATAATTGAATTGGCAATACTGATGTATTTGTGGAAAACAGATAGTGAGGGCACAACAAAAAAAGGAGATACTTTCTTTTCAAGTGAGGAGCTATAAAGGCTGTGACAGTACTTTGTTGAAGTGATTATTGTTTCTGTCTTGTTTACCCAATGGCTGACCTAATTTTAATGTTTTTATTTAATAGATACTTTTGTCACAATGTGACAGCTTTTCACTGCTGGTGAAATGCGTTAGTGTGCAGAAACCAGCGCTGTTGAATCACTGAAAGTAGCACTTAAGTTTAAATGTTTAGAGAGGGATGTAAGTGGGACATAGGCTTTGTGCCTGTCATGTATATGGGAGTGAGTGTCTCTGTACTGATTAATGTCTATTGATTTACAGATGATCCATTATGAATGTGTTAAAAAGTAGCCCAATAGAGCCACTTTTTCATTTTTGTTCACGCAGTAGTACAGGAAGAGACTTGCAGTACATGTAAGTATCAGTGATTTGTGGGCCACATAAGTGAAATTTTGCCAAAAAATAAGGAACTGACAAATTCTGAACTTCTATTGACTTACAAATGGGAGTAAAAAACCTGACACTTGTCTTTTGAAAATCTCTTGGATAGCCTCTGACCCACTCAGATAGCCAGTTCAGCTACAAACCCGGACTGAGTCATAACAAACTCAATGTCCTTTTCCTGCTTTCCTTCCCATCAGCTCCTTCTATCTTTTGCACTTGTGGTGGCTTAGTACAGTTATCTCCATATTAGTGTCCCATGTACCCATCCTTGTTTCAGCTCTGAGCACTGGCTCTTTTTTGCGCACAACTTTTTTTTTTTTGCGTTAGCAGTCACACGTGCCTCTGTGAAATGTTTGTCCACATTGTGCCACAGACAATTAGAAAATATATGCAGAAAAATGCCTTTTGTGAAAGTAATTTAAAACAGTTCACTGTCTTTGAATCTGGTTAGGGAGCCTAAGCTAAAACTGAAACAGCTACTTAGACTCTGTTTACTAATGGTGAGGTATCATAATGGTGAAAACAAGTAAAAAACATAGGGCAGGTTGGAGACAGAAGATAAGTACTGCAGATGTTTTTCTTTAAAGCCACAATCTTACAGCTTGTAGGAAAAATATATAAAAGCACTTTGATGCTTTCCACTGTTCAGTAGATGATGAGTTTTATTGTTGTATTTAAACTTAGAATCTGTTTCAATGAGAGATGCACGTTTCACTGAAAGTAGATTTTGAGTCATTTTGCAGACACACAAAATCAGGAACGGCTGAAAATCGGATCACAGACTAACAGGATTTTGTGTTCTTTCATGAATGTCTGAAAAGCTCAGAATTTTGATTACAAGTTGTAGATAACTACAGCAAGCAAAGTGTAGCTCTAAATGTTTGCCTGTCACCAACCAGTGCCTGCAGACCTAAGCATATTTTCGATCTGGTGCTGGTGGCACTGGTCTCTCTCAACTAATAATTTTGAGCCTCAAGAAGATCCTCTCTAAAGTCTGAAGAGTACAGATATAGTTTTTATCTTGGCAGTCTCACTGTCTACAAGATATCAAAATGGATTACGTCGTTGAATATTGCTGCTTATAATTTAATATTGTGTTAGCTGTCTAACAAAAGAGGGCTCAAATCTCATTGCTCCTTTCTATTAATAAGAAACATCTTACCTAGGAAACAATGCTCTTTTTATTTGTCAAAAAGAAAGTTTTATATAGTTCTGTTTCATGACACAGTTGTTTTGAAGAACTTGATGAATTAAATGTGCTCTATTTAGAAAAACTTGTTATTTCTAGAGTAAATTTAATCCAACAATACTTTTAATGTGCTGGCAGCTTTAACTGGATTTTGTTGTTCATGTATTGCAGTGTATCTGCATTTGCTTGTAACCATCTTCCGCTAAGTTTATAGACACAGACTAAACCCTGTAACATAATGCTTCTCTGGCATGTATTTCTGACAGGTCATTTATAAAATATAATCTCATCAAACCATAGTAAAATTCAATATATATGACTTAATTTTTTTTTTTTTTACAGAAGGCCATATTTTATTTTTCCCTTTATCTTTTTTTAATGTTTTAGGTCAGATAAGAACACCCTTCTATTTCCAGAGGCATACCAGGCTTGTTCACACTAGCAGCACTATATGCTGACATACAGGCTGATTATTAATGAGGTTGTGCAGTCTTACTTCCTCCCCCCAAAATTTGATCTTTGCACTTCTGCTAGTGCTCATTGCCTGGCAAGAACCGCAGGTATTGTTCGAAAGAACTGGAATGGCCACCAGGTGTCAGTGCTCCTCCAGGAGCTCCTCCGCTTTGGAACGCCTTTGCGCTGTGTAGGAAATCACTGAAGTTTTCACGAACAAAATGTTTATGATCTCTGCGTAAGATGGATGGGAGCGTCGTCATCAAATGAGTGGTCTCTCAAAAGCTCTTGAAACAACTGCTTTGGTTTACTGCAGGCTAGTTCTCTAATATCTGTCATTTAGGCTTGTATGTAGTTTCTGCGCTGGATAGACAAGAGTGTCCAACAGAGGGCAAAATCGAAATAGGATTTCACGTTAAAATGTGTATCACTGAATAGCAGTTAAACTTGTTGCCGACAAGAATGAACATGGATAAAACTATTATTAAGAAAACTTCGGGTCCCTAGTTAAATTCATGTTTGTTAGCTAAAGTATTTGACAACCTATTTATTCTCGCTGCTCTGATGTATTCTTCTTTGTGCTATAATGATTCTTGCGCAGGTGGCAGCAAAAGACTTACCCATGCCTAAGTTCCTCATACTGGCCTGAGATTTAGAAGCATATATGCTGTATATGGCTCCTTGCACCTTTCATGTGATGCTTGTAAATTTTCTGTTTAGCCTGGCTTATTTTCTTTGCTTTGGCCTTCTGGACGTTATTTAGATTGGTTACAATCAATCTTTTGGTTTTCATTTAGTATTTGCTCTCATATGGTTCATCAGATATATTTCATATCATATCTTCCTATGTGGGACCAGCAAAATAAACATTGACTCTGTGACAACTTTCTAGACTGGTTTATGTCCTCTATTTCAGTAAAATGTAACACATTTGAGGAGCACACAATATTGCTGTAAGGAGATGTTGTTGAAGAAAGAAGCCTCTGAAATTTCCATGTAAAAGGTGTTGAAGAGGTTGCCTTACATATATCTGGGAAGAGCAATTATAGTGATGGTTTCCTGTGAATATCTGTATGAGGGTCAAAGGAAGCCTTTTAATAATGTTAAAAAAACATTTAAAAAAGGAGGGCATAGTGTCCTTGCCTTTGCAGTTAATCGTTAAGGAAAAAAAATAGCTTCCCTTCTGAATGTGACCCTGATTTTTGGCTTACATTGCTGAGTTGCAGAAGCTGATGGCTCCTTTCTATAAGGTAGTGTATCTACACTGACGTTGCAGAGAGCAGGTCTGTGTGTGTAACTGGAGCGCACTCTGCAAGATGACGTATGACATTATTCTTTACTGAGGCCTCCTTAATAATGCTAGACAAAGAGGCATAACGTTGTATTTAGGCAATTTATGAGATGTGCTGAGGAAGTCAAAGGCATCTATAAACTTCCCAAACAAAATTTTCCTCCCCTCCTTTCTGTAAAAGAAAATCCTTAGTTTTGGTGTAGTACCGGGTCAAAAAGTCAGACACTCAAAACTCAGGAAATTCCAGAAGCTAAACTGCTTACAATACTTTAACTCACTTATACCTCAGTAGCATTTTTTATTTCTCTTTTTCATTCTAAATTACAATCATACTGTTTTATTATGTGCAATTTGAAATGTTGCATCTTTAAAAAATTAAGCTGTGGATGAGCTTAGTGCTGGGGGGAATAATTGGAATTTCCAGGTTTGAATTTCTAGCTATTTTTATCTTAGCATTACATCAATGTTAATTTCTACTACGATTTAAAATATTCATAAATAATTGTGTGTCTATGTATTTTGTAAAATAATAGATAACATAATAGCATAATTCATTATAATCTAGTTGCAGATCTTAAAAATTACTAAATGTAATGTCCGTATTGTTCAGTATAATATCCCTATTAATCCCTTCCATACTTATTCTATTAAAAGTGGCCATTGGACAATTTTACTACATTATTCATATTCATAAAATAGAGTTTTAAAACTGGAATGATGAAAATTCAGTTGACTCGTTTAAAATTAAAACAATGAGAACTTTCCAAACTCAGTGTCTTATCATGTGTAATTTTTGAGATTCTTTGCAAGATTGAACAAGTTATCTAAATCCCTCCGTGAAGGCTCGAATAGTCCCTACACACCAGCAGCCAGGGAAGGATTAAAGGAAGAGTTTTTTGCATTCCCATCTGTAACTGCAGAACCGGTTAGAAAAAACTTCTTTAAAAGAAATTGCTTTTTACGTAGAGTGGGGCAGCATGTGAAGAAGGAACTAGTCAGACCATTAGTGTCACTGGCATATTTTTGTGTGGAGTTCCCTTTTATAGTTTTCCTACAAGAAATACATCTGCTGCTGTCTGCCCTTTATTTATTTTGACAACTTTATAATAGCATTTGATAACATTGGTAATGTTATGAATGAAGGGACATGAGAACAATACATCAGTGTTATTTGGTGCTTTGTTGTTGTTATAATTTGCGTCATTAGTTGATCGTTTAGATCAGAAGCTGAATGTTGCTGCGTTAAGACTGAACAGAAAGCTCTGCATGTTGAGAAACAATTGTAACCCTCAAAATCGCTCTTTTAGGGCTTGGTTCTGAAAAATTACTTTGCTTTAAGCATTTAAGCAGGTAGTATCTATCACAGGCAGATGGAGCCAAACTGAAGATTCTGATGTTTAGTGACAATACCCACAGAAAGGGGGACTTGAATTTAATTGTTTCTTCAGCCTGAGGAATATCCAGCTACACCTCTCTTGCCTTCTAGAAGCCACAGGTATCACCAACATAAGCATGAGAGGGAGGATTATTTGCTGAGCACCAGGACAAAGCCAAGGAGTGTCCTCTTCATGAAGCATATCCCTGTGCAGCAGAAAATACAGCGTTCACAGTGCCAGAGCATGAATAAGGAGAAGAACAATTCAGTAACCTGCTGGCAGAGGCATTCACCTTACAGGAAGTGAAATCCTTCTCCCCCACTTTCTATTAAATTTGCTAAAACATAGAAGTAGAGAGAAAACATTCCCTCCCCCTTGTGCCCTAGGCCGCAGAGTCAGGATCCCTCTTTTGCCTGCATTATCAACACAAAATATGTCTGTCTTTGCAGGTGTCAGAGCCGTTTCCTGCAGCAAAACATAGCTGGAACACATGGAGGGCTGAGAGTGCCAGTCACTGGGCTACTGTATGGAGAACAAGGACTGCCACATAGCCTCCTCTGGCAGCTAAGTTTAAAAAAGCCAGCAGTTAGCAAATGCTGACTTCCTGGAAATAATATTTTTAGTTGCATAACACAGGTTTGTTGAATGGGAGGAAGCCCAGCTGAACCAGGGAAGAAAGTATCGAGCACCAGAGAAGCTTCATCATCATCATTTCTTCTTGCTCAGCTCTGGTGGCTCTCCTGCTGGTGGAGCACAGTTCTTGGATTGCCACTTTGTGGGAGATATTCGTGCTTAAACTATTTATCTGAAGTCAGTGGAAGAAGACGCTATGAAGGAACATCTGCGTTGACTACATTGTAAAGCCAGCTTCCTAATACAGATGTTTCAGTTGGGCTCCTGTTCAGAAAGTTAGTGTGAATGCATCAATTTTGAACAGCATAACTGTCTTCAGACACATTGTCACAAACCTAGGCAACAAACTGGAGCTCTGGATTGTACCCCAGAGCCAAAGCCAGTAAAAGGAGGAGAAGGATCTATTGCTTAGTTTTTCAAGTCTTGTAATAGAAATAGCCCCAGAGATAGGATCTCACAGGAAGTCTGTGCTAGATGAGGCCAGATACCCTTTGTCCAACTCTGGTGCCTTAATGAGTTGTCTACTCTTCCTCTGTGCTCACTTTTAGACAGGTCTAAAACACAGAGGTAGAAGGCACTGAAAGCTATAGAAGCAAAAATGGCCAATGTTGCGGTAATGGAAGTATCAAGATTTCAGTTGCAAACAAAGAGCCAAATTCAGATCTGGTATGAGTCATTGTTACAAAAAATTTAGTGCTGCATCTACTTACATCAGGTCTGAATTTGATTTTAGAGTCATTATGCCGTGAATCACATTTCAAGACTTTGCATTGAAAAGCTTTGTTTTAGTCAACCTATGTGTTATGAAAGCAGCACAATAGCTTTTTGAAACAAAGGATACAGGCAGAGTTTAACTTAGACATGCATTTGTTTGGTTTAAGCCTTTAATATGGGCATCATGGACTGAATCAAAAATTGTGGAATAAGGAGTTATTTTTAGAGTAAATAATTCTTTTACAGCAAGTCTGAGAATGTATGTTTAGGATTGATTCCAGAACAGCATCATACATTTTTTATTCTCTGTATTTAGAAGAATACCAAAAAGCTATAGCTGACTAGTTTTCAGCTATTATCTGCTGATTGTTATACAAGGAAGCTCCATCAGTTAAAAATATACTGGATTTCTGTTATATAAAAAAGTGTGAAAATAATGGTGCTTAGTTGATTTTCTGAGGAGTAGCATACTGGATAAGGGTTCTGCTCATTCTTGCTTGGTATCAGAAATTCTTGGAAGCTTTTTGTGCAACAGGAAAAATGGAACCATTCCCACAATGGTTGGCAGGAGAGCAGCACCGGCAAAAAGAGCTCAGATTGCAGTTCTACATCTGTAGCAGCAAATGCAGGCAGAAGTCCAACAGTGACTGAAAGAAATTCATTGCAACCCACCAGTCTGATCTGAAATTTGGTAGAAGTAAACCAAGCTTCTAACCCAACACAAGAAACGGCAATACTTAAACTCAGAAATGCCTTAAGCTGGTTGCACAGCTAGATGCCTAACATGTCCCTAACACCTCTATCTAAATTAGAATGAGAGGATGCCTGGGTGTTTCTCTAGGTTGTATTGCCATTGTTTATATCTCTTATCAGTCCAGGGATAATATTTTCGTTAAGCCTTACATATGGAGACCTGGAATCAGGAAAGAATCTCCTATTTATTTGTGTATATTTATATCTTACACATATATTTGTAAGCAGACAGGTTTGAGGATGTATTTAAGAAAAAAAAAACGCATTTATATCTTGCTCTTAAAGACACGGAAGGAAAAAGGAAAAAAGATGCTCATGATTTTAGAACAAATGTTATGAGGCTAAGTAATTTGTGTTTGAAATGCACAAGACAGTCCAAACACAGCCGCCTCAGAGCACAGGCATTAAAGCAAGACACCAGTTAGATGATCTTCATCTATGGAGCTGTCTTCATACATATTTTCTAAGTAAAGGGGCATTATTTAAAGACTAGAGGTATCTCTTCTCAGACTGTCTTGAAGAAAGACTAGAAAACTTTCCTTAGTCTTCCAAACTGCAAAAGGTCTTTTGGTTCCTACAGAAGCTGTGTATTACATAAAGCAGAGCACCAAGAGAGCTTCCTCTGGAGGAAAGGATGCAAAAGAGAAGTAAAACCCTTAGTGTAGCAATAATTAGTTCTGAGGAGTCAGGCTTTAGCTTGACACTTTATATTGACACTTCAACCCCATTTTATTATAGGAGAGATAAGAAACTAGGAAGATAATAATGGAGACCCTGAAAGAGCACCTAAAACATGGTAAATTACATTAGCAGGGAGATTACTCCAAGGTTTATGCTTTGTATTATTATTATTATTTTTTGAATAACCAATAAATCCATACTTGATAGAGAGCTACACTGCAATGTGTGCAGCACTGTTTTCTGAGAGAGATATTACCACTGCAGGTCGTCTGTTGCTGAAGAGGTAGAGCCTTAGCTTATGGCATATGAAAGTGCATTTTATCTGGCTGTACATGCAAAGGAAGAAGTATTATTATTGCATCATTCATTGACTCCTTAAATAGTGATTCTGATTATTACGCTGTTTGTTGACTCCTTCAGAAATGATACTGTTTAATGATA